TCTGAGACTCATTTGTTAGTAGGAGTCAGGTGTCTGATTCCAGTCCTGGACCTGGCAGCTTGCAAAACGTACTGGGGATATGTCCATGTGTGCCTGGATTTGAACCCAGGTGCCCGGTCATGTTCTGAGCCACTCTGAAATACGGCTTCAGCTCACAAGGCTTCTGTGCCTTGTCTCCTTCCCCCACCATAATGATGTCCGCCGACTGCCAAGGTCCACCTCTGCGCCGTTCTCAGTTAATCCTCACAGCCCTGCAGCCATTGTGAGGGGTGGTGTCCTATTTCTCAGCTCAGTGACTGGAACAGAATAGGGTTCAGGGAACATGGGCCTCTTTGTGTCTTTAAGTGGGTTAAACAGTACTAAATAAATTTGTTGTACATTTTTAATGCAATTGTCTACATATGTTGAAAATACGGTTCTTTGAGAAAACCAACTGAAATGCATGAGGTCACGAGTCCTCTCTAGGCCACCTCCCTGCTGCAGCCCCAATCTGCTCTTCTCACCCAGGCCAGCACCCGAGGGGGAACCCCCCAGCTGCATCTCATCGCTGGCTTTGCTGACCGACAGCAAAGGCAGAGATAAGCAGGCTGGCAGGCAAGGGGGCATAAGAGACGGTCCCTGCTCTGCTTCCTCCTCCTGCCACTCCACTCCCACAATCTTTCCTCCAGCCACAACCAATCCTGGTCATTCTGGATCACGCCTCAGTGCCTTCGCACATGCTGTTCTGGAGGACTGGAACGCTTTCCCTCCCACCTTCTCCACCTCCCAAACTCCTACAGTCTCTGTAAGGCAGCTCAGATGTCACCTCTTCTGGAGAGCCTCCTCCCTCCTTCCCAGCGAGGAGTCCGCCCCGTTCTGGGTGCAGACTAGCTCATCCCTTACTAAGCGCTTGGACTGCAATGACTGCCAGTTAGTGTGTCTTCTACATCCACAACTCCTTGTGTGGTGACAAGCCTTCATCACTGTTCCTAGCAGGGGTCAAGATGCCACTTGGGTTTTCTGAGATTTCTGGTGTATTTGAAAATGAAGAGATGACACGACAGGATTACAAACATCAAGACCTATCTTTAAATGTTTAAGAAATGAATGAAAATGTAATCATTTTCAGTGTTTCACATGCACAGTGGTCTCACAATAGGGCACAAATTTCAGGATACCCAAGGAGGGTCACTGATCAAATTAGTCAGCGGTTCCATCATAACGTGTAAACTGTAGAGACGACATCAGAAGCCTAAGTTGGGGACCCTGGCCATAGGGCTCCCCGGGCCTCTTTCCCCAGTGATAGGCTACACTACTGCCTCTGCACACAGTAGGTGCTCATTGTTTGCTGGCTGGTTGGAACAAACACAGCTTTCCAGGTTATTGAAAACTCACAAGATAGTATTCCTGAGAAACACTGAAGTCTCAAACAATGGGGCAGGAAGCCATGTCCTCCTTCTGTGACTCCAACCCTGAGAGTCCAGCTGAAGGCTGCAACAGGAAGCCCCTCAGCCACTGTCTTTCCTCCCTCTCCTCCCCACTCCCCCTAGGGGTTCCAAATGCAGTTATGCTTTCCATCCGCTCTCAGCCTCTCTTCTCCTCCACCCTCTGGAGGGTCCCAGGTGAAGAAAGAAAGCAGCACTTACTCACAGAAGGAGGCAAGCAGCCAAGCTGGGCTTGCCGAGTGCTCCTGCCCTGAGGCAGGCCTGAGGAATAAAAGAAAGCAAGAGGACAAAGAAAGGCTTAAAGCACTAGGCAAGGGAGGGCCGCCTAAGAAAGTCTACAAAGCAATCTGTCAGAGAGGGATGAAAAGGCAGCCCCGCTGGGCTGAGGGCTCAGGCCCTCCTCTCACCTTAGGCCCAGTTAGAAACCTGTGATTACTCAGTCAGAGCCTAAACTGATCCTTCCTCAGAGTTTGGATATTAACCCCTGACCCAGAGGCTTTCCTGAGCACGAGGCCTCAAGTCATCGGGTTTCTGGCAGCCCCAGGACCTCTGCTCTACTGGGCTCAACACACCAGTCCTTTGAACCGACCAAACCGGCCAATTCTGCCCAAATTCCCAGCAGAAACACAATGTGAGGATGAGATGGCCTACGATCCTCACGCTACAGAGCCGCTCTGAGTTCCTAGATTTTCTGAGCGCCTGAATACAGCTACAGGACTTTCTGGAAGTCTCCCCTGCCACCAAGGGCAAGATCAATGACAACAACAGCCATTATCTGAGCGCTCAATCTGTGCAGAGTGCTTTAGGTCAGCTCGGAGACCTCGCAACATCCTTCTGTATGATTATCCCATTTTACGGAAAAGGAACCTGGCCTGGAAGGATTCAGTGACTTTAAAGGATGCGGCCTGGATTCCAACCCAGGTCTCTCTGACCTTATGCCCAGTCTTTCCACTGGGGACTCTGCCTTTTGGGAACCCTCCAGGATTCCATCCTATATTGTGACCAGGTCAATTTCAGAGGGGGTCGCATGGCACAATTCTGTGGCATCTAAAGAATTCCTAGCCCCATATGCGGGAGTGGGAAGAGGAGTGGGAAAGTGGGCATTATAGCTGGGTAGGGTCCTGTTAGTTCTTCTTTTAAGACACTTGAGTAATTTAACCATAAATAACTGGGCACTGGGAACAGGACACTCACTAATAAAAGCATGGCCTAAAGTCATGTTTTTTTAAAAAAATAAGTCACTCAGTGGGTGAAAGTATCTGCAAAACAAAAGAAAAGCCCCTTTCCCAGCCCAGGCAGAGAAGTCTCCTGTACAGTTAGAGACTACAGGCTTCTGGGCACGTAGCCAAGGTTCTGGGGATATTTATAACTTGAAGAGGGTGGGAGTCACTAATAAGCTGCTATATTCTTTTTCCATCACTTCCCTCTCCAAGGCTACAGCAGGCTCGGAGCTCTTCCCCACGCAGAATGCCTGCTTTCCCTTGTGCTAGACTTCCATTGTCTAACTCCCTCATCCTGGCTGGGGAAAGGGAAGACTGCAAGTCCTTCCGCTCCTAGGCACTCTAGCTGAATGCAGTGTAGCTGCTGCTGGTGTTTCTTAGCCAGCTGCTGTGGTCTCAAGGATCTACTCCTGAGCGTGCAGGTTCTCTGAGTTGCCTGAGTCTGAGATCTTGAGAATCTGTGAGTCGCTGGGATCAGCCTACACCTCTGGGCTTTGACTGCAGTCTACGGATTTGAGAGCTACCTGTGGGTCAGAGATCCCGGGCATCTGCCAGTGATCTCTAGATCTTTGCAAGCCCAGAGGTCAGAGAAACCTGTCTGCAGCTCTGCGATCTGTTTGAGGCCTCTCGGATCTTGGAGCCAGCCAACTAGTGGATCTATTGCGGGCCAGGAGGTAAGTTTGTTTGTTCGTCCCCAACACGGGTTTTCGGCCTCCTACCTGCAGCCGGACAGGGACTTCTAACGTGCTGAGGGCCTGCCTGGCTCAGGCTCTCAGAGGCCCAGGGTCCCTTTGGTACGGGAGGCCACCAGGAACCCTTTCAGCCGACAAGCCCTGGAAGATGATAACCAGACCCTTCCTTACACGCCCAGTGCCCCAGCACGCTCCTGATTTCTCTCGGGGGTTTTCGCTTCCCTTCCGCTGGGCGCAATTCACCCCGCCTCTCAAGGGGCGCCCTCTTTAGAAGGACGCGGCCGGACGCCTCTACAGGGTTAACAGCGTGGGAGCTGGGACGCCTCGGGGCCCGGGCGCTGACTGCTCTCCAGAACCAGGCGGCGGCGCAAGGCTGACTGGGAGTTGTAGTCCGCGCGGAGGGTTGCCCTCGCCGCAGGCGCTGCTGGGAAATGTAGTGCGTGGGCGGGGCTCAAAGTTCCAGCGCGGCCTCGAGTCTCCCCGGGGGAGTGGGCGGCTGCTGCTTTCCTCTCTGGCCTGCGCTGTCAAGAGGAGGCTAATCCCAGAGGAGCTCAACACAGGCCACCGCCTGCATCGAGTCCAACACCGCAAATGCTATGATCCAACTCGAGACAAGCACGTAGGGACGTGAGGAGAAGCAGGGCAACCACCCTGGCTTGACAGAGCTGTGGTCTCCTAGAGAAGAAAGCGGGCGATACTCCGCCCTAGCTAGGGGCACGCGCTTCCTTCTTCGCCCTTTTGTTCTTTTCCCTCCTTTGCTCTTGGCCTCTGACTGGCCTTTGTACGCCGGGGCGGAACTCCAACTCCCGGCAGGCCCTCGCGGCAGGCGCAGGCGTGGTAGAGCGGCCGGGCCACGCTGCAAGGGGCGGGCCTAGTGGTCGGCACCTAATTGGCGGAGGGCTTCAGGAGCTTTGCTCGTTGATTGGCTGAGGCGGCTGCCGGGGGGGAC